CATTTCTCAAAACTAGCATGTCTACATTTATATGAAATTGTCAAATATGCTGTAGCAGTAGAAAGGTAGTTTGTTGTTGTTGTTGTTGCTTTATGTGTGTGCATATGTTTCTGTTTTTGTTTTGTTTTGTTTTGTTTTTAAGCACAATTTCAGCTGCACAATGCATGTTAGTCTTTCTTGGTGTTCAGTAGAGGCAGGTATTTGACAAATATCTAGAAGCTTTCTGCACACAGTTCGTTTTTTAACCATCCACTGCTATCATAACTATAAGTGACTCTTCCCCACTATGACAAGATTACATCAGAATGAAGACATCTGCTAATATCAGTTTGCTGTCATCAAATGACTTGTATCAGTTGTTCTCTAATATCAGGATTATGATTATTTGACTTTTCTGTTTTGTTCATTCTCTTTTCTTCTTCTTTTTTTTCTTCTTTGCATGACTTTCTGTAAGGTATCAGTGAACTTCTGGAACATCAGGAAAAACAAAATTCAAGCAATAGGACTATAATCTCCATTTTGCAGTTTACTGCAATTGAGTTTCTTGAAGACTATGGAGGTACAGTGGCATGGCCTTCATTTGTGTCATACTTATTCTGAAAGGATCTATTAGCTTTCATTGACATCAGATTTCTTAAAATATATTGGTTTCAGAAACCTTATACTTGGTGCAATAAATGATATTGGTGATATATTATTTTCCACATGTACAGTTTGGTTCTTAGGCTATTTCTCATTGTATAAGATTCAAATTCTATTTACTTTTAAGCAAGGCTGCCTTTTGCAATGATCTTCTCCTTAACAAAAGGCAAATTAATTATGGCTATAACTGACATGACACGTAGATATTCTGCCTTTCCAGTTAATAAATATCTGAATCTTTTTTTCCTGCTACTTTCCTTTTATCCCTATGGCAAGCAAGTAGCAACCTGTACCAAAGTGAATTCCCTTGGTTTTAGAAGCAATTGTATACAAAGTTTCATACCTTGTTTCAACAACTCTTTCATATCCAAGCACTTGAATATTACACTTTACAGATACAATGTTTTTAAACAAATCTAGTTGTTTTTTGGCCTATTCCTACCAATTCCTGCTTCGTTAGGGAGAGGGGACTGAATATATTTTTAACCCAATGGAATAAATGAAGTTCCAAGGAGCTTCTGCACTTCAATCAAGGTTAAGATTAAACCATGAATCAAACACCTACCGGTAGACGGGACATATATTCTTCAAGCCTGCAAAAGTTAATGAAGCTGAGGTGAAATTTGCTAATTGGAGAGGAAAGAAAACAAGTGATTGATAGTGGTTTAAAATGGTTTGAGTGGAAAATCTAAATAGTCACTAAAAGTTTTCAAGGAAACAAGTAAAAGGTCAGAAACAAGGTATATATTCCCCAACAGTATTAACTTTCAGCACTAATACTACTTATGTTGCATTAGTCCTTTTTGTGACATTTTTAACAGAAGTGCTTATTTTGCTTTGATAGTGAGACCATATTCTTTCTGATGAGTTATCTGTAACACCAGACATCTCACTTCTAAAACTAAGATCTGCATAACTAAAAGCATGTATCTCTACAGCCAAGTACTCCATAGTAATGAACTTCTGCTCTTTGTAGACTGGCCAGTGGATGCTTCTTTTGCATCTCTAACAAAGATCCATTATACAACTATGAGTATTGCCAACTGATCAGTTATGAAAAAGAAATTAAATTATGCCAGCTCTCCCAAACACTCTAATACATGCATTTGAGAGGACTAAATTGAAAACTAAATTATGTGCAGTTTTTGACAAGTGTTTAAAAACAACAGCAACAACAAAAAAAGCCTAATAATTAAAGGTACCTTTAATTATTATTAATTAAAAGTCTCTCAACTAAGTCTAATGGTCCTACTATTTTAATTATTGGAATCTTCTTTAAAACAACATGACAGCTTAGAGACAGAATATTATCCACATTTATCATGCTAAATAAAATTAAAAAAAAAAAAAAAAAAAAAATTGTCCTTAAGGAATTTAACCAAGTAGCTAAAGTATTTTGATTTGCTCAGGGTTGGGTATGAAACAAGCAGCTATAGTACGTGTTTCAAAGCAATTATTCCACATGTGGACAAGCAGAAGGCACCTCCAGGGCCACCAACAGTGAAGAGAGCTCTCTTGCACAACTTTTTTTTCCCCTGCCAAAGGTCAAGAGGTAGGCAATAAATGATAGAGAATACACAGAGCTATGTACAAAATCTGTTTCAGTTTTTGCTCTCCGAAACAGGTAGGCTGGAATGATGGAAAGTAAGACAGTAAGAAATCCTTATCTGGTTATGATTCTGAGACGTGTGTTTGTCTCAAATAAAGTAATTTATTTATTGATTTGACGCTGAAAAAAATGCAACTAAGTTCTGTCCTCTGCTTGTTATAGATAGTGAAGTTAGAATTTACACCTAATTTCAAAGATTTCTGAGATAAGGAATAAATTATCCGTTATCTTTCAGAGTATCATGTCAGTTTACTTTGACACATCAAACTGCTGTATTCATAGTTAAAGTCCTTGCCCATTAGTTTAGTAACGAGAGAGCAAGCTCATTTACTATTTTTGTTTTCAGGTTCTTCAGGAACATCCACTTGGTGTTATTCTTTCAAATAGCCTGGTATTGTCTCAGCAGTGCTATGTTCTAATAAATGGCAAAGGAAATTACAGACAAATGCCTTGTCAATCTCTTTATTCATAGGTTAAAATGTAATGGCATACAGTTCTTAGCAATTACTGACTGAAAAAAATTATTGGCATAGAACAAGCAAAAACAGAAGGAGACTAATTAAAAAAGCCATCTTGCTTCAACTTTTGATTACATACAGAGTAATATACATATTTACAAGTATATTATATAAATATAATATATATATGTAATCTCATAACCACAATAAATATCAAGAAGGTCTCTTTTAGGCACACAGCATAGAAAAAAATGCAGAATCTGCACAATCCTCAAGATTCTTGGAGTGACTCACTCTTACATTGTTTTCACACTGAAAAAACAAATATTTTACACAAAATACGTAGGTTGCTTTGGAAGTAATGCCTCCTATTTATTTCTACAGAAACAACAGATGCAAATAGAATAGCACTACCTGATAGAGTGAATTCTGAGCTACAAAACACTGTTTTTGAACACAGTCACAACTGTTAGCTATGCATTTTCACCAGTGATGAATGAGAGCCTGCATGCCACACTTGTTACAATCTGTACCAGTGAAGATGGCACATTGTTTCACAGCTGCTAAGACGGCATCATTTCTAGGAAACTGTTGCCCATGCAGTCCATCTTCCATCAGCCTGAAAAGATGGAAGTCAGAAGGCACCAATTCTGGACTACACAGTGGATATGGTAGGACATTCCACTGGCAATGTACTCCATGGTATTCGAACTGTTATGGGGCCTGGCGTTATCATGTCCGAAGGGAAAGGTTAACTTTTTCTCTGGCCTGACCTTGGAAGTTTTAGCCTTCACCTTAGTCAGAGTCATTATGTAGTGGTCAGTGCTGATAATTTGTCTGGGTTACAGGAAGGATCACCTTTTACCATCCCAAAAGACAGTGCACACCACTTAACCTGCTGAAGGCTGTGTCTTAAACTTTTTCTTTGATGGGGAATCTACATGTCACTGTTTCATAGACTGCTGCTTTGATTCCAGCTCATACTAGTGATTCCACATCTCATCTCCACTAGTGATGTTGTCCAAGACACTGCCACCTTCAGCCTTCCTCCTTATAAATCTGAGCACAGTGTTCTTTTTTTCTGCTGTGACCATTTGTGGGACTTATCTGGTGAAAACTTTGTGATATTTCAATATTGCCGCCATCGTTTCCAGTGCATTAGATCTAATATTCAGCTCCATACACAGTTCCCTAGTTGTAATCTATTTGCACAGATGCACTGATCAAGATTCTCTTCTTTTTGTGGTATGACATTTGTGCATGGCCATCCAGAACATGGCTTACTTCTAACATTGCTATCACCATTCCTGAAACACTACCCACAGCCTCATTGTGCTCATATCCTCATATCCATTGTTTGGTCTCCATAAACGTTCAGCAAGCTTTGCTGAAGATGAATGTGTACCATTTTTTTTCCCATGGAGGACTTCAGTAACACATCTTCGCTTCATATGCGCTTCCAAGTCAGATGCCATTTGTTAGAATGCCCCTCAGCAGCTGTCACATGACACCAAAATGTAACCGATTACTGGTGGCAAGGTTCAACCTCTGCTGCCACACCACCAACATCCACTTCTGATGCCATTGGCCAATATAATAAAATAGGAGGCATTACTTTCTTAACAGCCCTCGTATACAAATACAGTTTATGTAGTCCCCAGTGAACAGGGAATCTTTTCTTGCCTTCCCATAAGTCTACTCCTCGATTTTTCTAATACTATTGCTCTATACAGATATTACATAAGAAAATAGTTTGCAGGTTTTTTTTACTCAGCTAATAGCCTAGGTAATAATCATTGCTAACAAAATAAGTACAGCATATCTACATAAGGTATATACAAATGTGTGCACAAAAGGGTTTGGTGAACTTCTTCAGAGCTCAGTTTTAATACTGGGGAGTTAATCTGGAAGCAGAAAAAAAAAAGTCAGTGATATTACCTCAGAAATATTACATCATTTAAGTGGGGAATTTTATCACTGGGCTTCAGTGATAGAAGGCTTTAAAATTAGAAATTAATTTAAAACAAACAAATTTTCAGCTACGCTGGCAGATGTAGGCTGCCATTGATTTTCCATTTATTCTCTTCAGTGCAAATGAAACTCAGAGAATTAATCCAAAGGAAGTTTTCTCAACCTGTACAGACAGTCATAACATCTTGAAGACTGTCACTATGGAGCACCTGAGATTGCACCTTAGTACGTGAATACAACCACCTCTCTTAGGGGAGCCATGATCAGCAAGAGGAGAAACAAACAGAGAACTCTTTTTTTTTTTTTTTTTTTTTTTGCAATTACAAGTCAGATTCTGGCATATCAGGCATATCTGCCATTAAGTATCCGATACCATAGCGTCCATTTGGAGCAGTGTCCAGAGTTGGTGATCCAGACTGTTTTCGATATATGTTTTTCCCGAAGTTCGGAGATGGCACTTCACTTGGACTCTTCCCATGAATTAGACTTGTATTATCTCCCTCCAGATTAACAGGCTCCTTTATTATTCGGCCTCTTTTGTAGGATACAGATGCCAAGCTACCAGAGCTGTCATCAATAAGGTTGCAGCGGCGCACTATTAAGACTATTGGGACTGGCAGTATGGCTAATACCATCAGAGATATACAGACAATCATTCCCCATGTTGGATAGCTGTGGAACTCTTCTGTAGCCTGTGAATGCAAAGAGAAAAAGATTAAATAAATCTTTACTTTAAAAAGAGCAAATCTGCAGTTCTCACTAAGGCCTGAAGTTTTCAAATATATGCTAATCTGCTTGTCATCTTGCATCCACAATGTAGGCACCACTGAAGGTTTTGAAGTTGAACAATCATGGAATCACGGAATACCAATATGATTGGTATTTTCCTGCCAGGGAGCAGGACCAAACTGCCATCCCAAAGTTTCCCACATTCTCAGCGCACTGAAGCAGAGCCCAAATCAGGATTTTCATATTCAACCTTCTGCTAAATTTGCTTGTAATTCCCTGATCCTTTAAAACAGCAGAGCAGCATGCAGTGGCATCTGTAACCATGCCTGGAAAATAGACGTTTGTTTGGTAGGCTAACAGCTGAATTAGACAGGGACTGTTTCAGATCATCTTGTGGAATTGTTCTGTTCTGTCTAAACTTCACATAAACTGTAACTCATTTACTGGGCCAGCGACTCTACCCCACATGCATGCCTCTCTACTCCAAGCATGAATCACTGGACAACACTCAGTTTGTCTAACAGCTCAATTAGTATTCAATTTTATAAAGGGAAAGCCTGCAATTTTGAGGCATACTGAATTCGAAAGTCAGACCATTGGACTTGCTTAAGATGATCATGGTATGGATTAAAATTCAAGTTCCACATAAGGCACTACCTGCAGGTACCACCACAAGCAGGTACTAACTGTCCCCAAAAAGGAAAAGATATCACATTGCTAATCTCAATATTTAGTTCCAAGTAAAAAATTGATGTGGTATCTGAAATACCAACAATTTTCTGTAGTACGACAAAATTTAGTGAAAGTGAACAACTTCTCTTGCCCTTAGAACATATCCAACATACACCAACAAACTAAAACTTACTAAAAAACACATATATTCATGTCAAGTGGTTATATTTTAATGCAAAAAAAGACTTCAAAATTTAAAAGATTGTTAATCACTATATAATTATTTATACTGATATATTGAAATTGTAATTGAAAACTTTTGGGTTTTTTTTCACATACTTCTGAAATACTTCATATCTGATTACTATGATTGCAATGACATCTAGTATATACATACCGTATCTTCAATCCATGCATTGTAGCCAGGAGGACTTAATCCCATTTGGACAATACTAGCTACCAGCAAACATAACAATACTAAAGGTGAAACATACTTCCACATGTAGTAATAATACTGGCTTGGAGAAAATCCAAGCATATCTTTCAGATCCTCCATGAATCTGTGAAGGAAATAAAAGGTTATTGTTACCCTGGCCACTGAGATTTCAAATGTTGTAGTTGATAGTATCTAATCTGAAAGCATAGACAAGCTGGCAAAATGTATATATAGAAATGCCTGCACTGTAGCTGACTGGAAGGCGTGAAAAATAAAACTTTATTACAGTTCTGAAGAGTTGAGCAAAAAATTACTCCACAGTGTAATGACTCAGTAAACTAGCTTTTGAACGCTGAAGATTCAGACATAATACACTGTAACTAATACAGTAAAATAGCGTGATGCCCTTCTAGTCAATAAAGTTTAGGTTCCAAGTTTAATGCCTCATCCAAGTTATAATGTTGGATTGTTGAAAATTGGGACTAGTGGCATCTTAAAGTGCATTAAATAGATAATTTTTGGTGAGCAGTGAAATACTTCTAATTTTACTAACCAATTAGTTTACATTTACAACTCCTCCCTTGAAACACAGGCTCAATTAGTTTGTGAATTCAAATGATACTGTGTTACCATGTATTTTCTGAAGAATAACCTTTTGTGTAGAAGTAAACATCAAAGCAGAATTGGAAGACCAAGCTATTTTCTATTAGCTTCTATTAACAAGGTTGAGTGTTACAGGAAATACCCTTTCTGTTTCTGTCACTTTCATGGAGGCTGACAAACTTGAAATTCTGTTTCTGCCTCATATAGACGGCCTTATCCTGCAATGAGTAGTAAACTACATGAGCAGTTTAGGTACTCCAGGCAGTGGAAAGGGTGAGATTTTTGAGGCAGACCAGACCACCTACCGCTGTAGATGAAACCACGTCATGGACGTAGCCTATGACCTTTTCCAGTTTTTATGAAGGTAGAAGAAAAAGTGGACACTGCTTCCAAAGCAGGCCAAACCTAGCCGTAGCTACTATTCACCTACACCTCCTTGGCCCATTGTCAATCTGAGCATTAGAAAGCAGCTGGACTGAGCAACTGCCAGGCCAGATAACATACTAGCCTTCCTCCCCTCCTCAGAAGAGGGCCTTAAGGGAGAATGTAGTAGGCTAAATTTAGCATGTGAGCAGCTTGTTAAACCATTCTAGAAATATGTTTAAACTCACCTTTAATTTACAGAAGTTTACAAAAATCTTTTTAATGCTTGCCTAATGCTTGCTGAGACATGTGCCATCACTTCTGAGCACATGTGAAAACAACACATCTTACAAACTTTGCAAAAATAATTTAGAATCCATATGTGTACTGCAGTGTAAAAGAATATCTTTATGCATAAGTTATGGTTTACATCATATAAGCTGCTGAAATAAGTTTGTGAAGTTTTAAATCTGCCTTCTTATGCCTCAAAATTGCAAGTTATGATCTGAACAAAACTATTTTTGTATTCTTGATGGAGTACATTGTTCCAGAGCCAGTAGAAAAAGAGAATAATTTTAGAGCTAATTCTTTTGGAGTGTGCTCAAGCCTTGAATCTCTTTTAATTCCCTTGTGGTCCTATTCCCTATTGAAATGTGTGCATGAAAAAAGTTCTTATAGCAATAAATACATTTTGAGAGCAGTCACACATATGAAGTTACTGTCACATAAACACTGAAAGAAATTTTGAACCACATAGTTTGGGCTATTCTATTCTTTGTTTACACCATAGTGAAACACATCCTTAAAAAGAAGCTGAATTTGCAAATGGTTTGTGCCCTCTAAAGATTGCCTTTTCTTTCTGCGTTCCCCAGCTCTACAACTAATGAAACATAAATCCATTCTCTTCATTTTCAAAGTCTTTCATCGCCTTCTTCACTCTATTAATATTTCTTATAAGCCACCAATCTCACATTCTTACAGTTTCTGTCAAATCATGTAGAAACATTAGAGATACAGTGGTCTTCATTGCTCTCCTCAGTCATCACTGCTAGAAGACTGAACTTTTTTTTTTATCAAACATGCTTCCTCTGTTTAAGTTTTCATCCTATTCTTTGCTATAATTTCCTACTTTTTCCCTCACAACTAATGCAAAGAACATTTAAGTGCGAGAACACCCCATAATAATAAATAATAAATGAAACCCTTCTTACTGTTACAGCCACTAGAGTTCACTTTGTTTCTCTCAGACTACCCAAAATACTGCAGATTTGTTCAAAATGCTCCTCATCTGCTGCTTAGACCACTTCTATGACTTCTTCAAATCCTTTCCTTACTTTCCTTACTTTACATATACAAATTCCCAATATTTGCCCATACATCCTTCTTTCCACCTCTAATTTTGACTCTTTTATTGCATTCTTTATTTGTTCTATGGGTTGCACCTGACACACTATGCTTTGTTCCAAATTTGTTCTTTTAAGACTGGAATCAAGTCCAGAATGACCCACTTTGACTCCTTTACTGCACCAAGAATAACAGCTTTATAATCATACTGACCAGCAAGAAATAATTGCAAAAATAAATTACTGTTTTCATCCTTAACTCCTACTGTACTCATTTTGTTTTGCTTTTCTTTGTCTTACAGTTAGATTACGAAGAAGGATATCTTTCTACTGACTTGAATTTATGTGTTCATAGCAAATAGCTGTAATAAGTATTGTAATGAATACTCTTGATATGAACAGGGGAATATATTTCCTCTAACTTACTTTTCTATTCCATAAATTCGGGTAACTGCAATGTTCTCCAAAATGACCACAATAAGCAGGGGCAGAGTAGCTGAGTAGTCATCAAACATCGTGACAAAATAATTTCCAGAGCGCTGCACAAAGATCAGGCCAATAAAAAATGCTATCAAGCAGCAGATGACTGGAATGAAGGACAGAAATATGAGTTGTAACAACAACAATTTTCAGAAGAACTTAACGTAATTTTGAACAGAAGTTCTCTATTAAATTGAAGTTCCCTGTTCCAGCTCTTGTAGCATCCAGAAGAAGTATCTACTTGTAAATATTAACATGCACATGTGTGGATGTACAGTCTGGAACAGTCATTTTCTCATCTGTTAAATGTAAGTACTGAGAAGTTTGAAGTCAGAAAATCAAGACTTACTACTTTTGACTTACTGCTCTGATAAGAAAAGACAGGTTGTGAAACTCACCAGTAAGAATTTCTTTCCTAATTTTGAAAGTATCAACAATGGGTGTGATGATGCCTTCAATGGTTCCAAACATACTTCCAAGTCCCAAATTTACCAACATAAGGAAGAACATGACCGACCAGAAGGGAGAAGCAGGAAAGTGGGTCATTGCTTCTGTAAAGGCAATAAAAGCTAAACCAGTTCCTTGAACAGCCTGTCAGAAAAAAAAAATCCACATTATAATTCATGGATAGTAGCAGTAGTCTTAGCAGTAACAGTAGAGTGACATTTTAACTTCATGCTCTATTAACAATGTAATTTTTTGCTCTTTTACAGATAATTTTGCATAGAGCTATTATATCAGAATAGGAGATACTGTAGTATATAAAGGACTTCATTTCTGTATCCGTGTTTCAGATTTAAAAGGTTGGAATATTACAGAACTTTTTAATGTCTAAGTCACTAATTTGTATTTCAGCTTCAAATGTTGGTAGAATTGCAGAGAGTCCAGTGTTTCAAACTCGAAGTTTCTTTGTAATAAAGTTAGAAAAATGTTCTGTACTTGTATGGTTTATCACAAAGATTTCAAAACAGGATGATGTCAATTAAACAAATGTCTAATAACTAATTAACTATTTTCATTTCCACTGAAGTGATATCTATATAAAATAATATTAAATAATATTGACAATAAAAGACATAATTGAGATGTTGAATAGATAAATCTCTACTTACAATTTGGAAAAATGCCTGCGGTCAAACGACTTCAAAAATTTATCATCTCTTGAGGACTAATGTTATGGTTACAGTATGATAGAAATTAGTGGAGATGTCAAACTCAAAAGTGCTCACCTGAGCAAGAATAAGATCCACAACATAATCATAATCATATTTTCATACAGACTGCTATAGGGAAGAGTACTGATTCTGATAGGTACACTTCAGTTTATTTCAGGATTACAAATATTCCCTCTTCCTAAATATCCTAAACATTTTTATTTAAGGTGTATTTATTTCCCTCACCTTGTCAAGCTCATCTTCAATTTTACAAGATTTCAAGCCTAGTGAATCAAACTCTTCTTCTTTAACTTTCTGAATAATGTCATAAACTAAATTGTAATCTTCTGCTGTAATGCTTGAGAAATTGATATGATGTGGGATCATATCTTGGCTCAGATTTCCTGTTTTCAGAAGTTTTAAAATCTTCTCTGAATTTCTGTAAAACACAATAAAACAGAGAAATCAAACTTGATGATCTATGTGCATTCATAAATGAAATTTACCATAAGAATAATAATTAAAAATTGATATTCATACTGGATAACACATTTCTCATTTATGATATTGGCTTTGAAGCCCAGAACTGCAAACACCACCAAGGTTGCCAGCACAGAAGTGAAAAAATTGATGAAGGACACCAGTACAGCATCAAAATGGCAGTTGTTGTCTCTCTTGTTGTAGCTTGAAAAGGCAATGACTCCACCAAATCCAAGCCCTAAGGCAAAGAACACCTGAGTAGCAGCTTCTCTCCAGACCTTGGGCTCCAGCATAATTTCAAGCTGTTTGAAATTAGATACAATATATGTCAGCTATAACATGCACTTCTGTTACATACATAAAACAAAACAAACAAACAAAAAAAAACAACACATGAAGACAACCTACATCATAAAACACTAATAGCCCACTGTACCCCACTACAAACATATTTTCATTATGATAAAGCTGAATGTAACACTTTAAGCTGTGTGTACTTACAGACCAGAATTTCCATTTAATTTATACAATATAAATCTTAAAGAGAAATATTCTATACAATAGAATGAGATATTACTGAAATTATGTGACAACTGAAATAGCAGCTAGTTATCTAGAAATCAGAGAAAACATCTGTCATTTTTAATTTGTAGTACTTGCCTGCCTTATTTTTACAATACTTGTACAGACGGGCACTAGAACTAAGATTTCTTTTGGAAAGACAAACCCATTTATAAATGTAGTAAGTACATTGCATTTTTTTTATTTTGTTTTTAATTTAAAAAGCAACAAATTGAATACGAAATACACATTCTTATATGGAGTTCTATTACATGCAAATATGTAAAGCAAAAATATAGCATGTAAAACAAACACTCAGTCACCGGAATTTGTATAGTGCACAAGTAGAATCTCCCTTATGACAAGTTCAAAGCATCCAGATCAAAGTGAAATGAGTGATGTATTTTAGGAACAACTAATCTTTGCATCTCAATTCAAATGTTAACTCCATAAACATTTGCTCTTCAGATGATCAGACTTCAATAAACAGCTTTGTTTGAATTATTAGTCATTGTGTATCTAAGATCCTTCTCAACTCTGAATCATACAAAAGTGCATACTTCAATATTTCGTCTTCTTGAGTTGATCCAGCTCTGTCCACTTAACAATGACAAACCTTACTTCTTCAAATATTACAACCTTGCTTTTTCAAACATTTTTTTTCTAAATTCAAACCTTAATAAAAACAGTAAGACTGAAAGGCTGAAGCAAGCAACAGAAGACTATCTTATTCTAAGAAAAAAAAGTCTGCAGTTGTTATGTAGAGATAATAACCACAGTCTTCTAAGTAAACACCCAAAAATAAAACACATTTGAAAAAAAAAGGGCTTTATTACACTAAATTTTTTCCTGTCAAATGTGTAGATTTTTAAATAATTTCAGTGCTCGAGTAGCTCAACTTGCTTGTATCAGAGTCATGCTAGAGATATTCCACAAGAGGGTGCTACAGGACTAGTCTTCATTTTACTAAATCTAACTGGTTTACTTAATAAAACACTTCTCTGTTTTCACAGACTACATGGAAACAACAAAATGTAGGGGAGTCTGAATACCTAGGTCGTTTCCTGGGAACCTACAACCCACGTTAAGCTTAAGTACAGAAACATTCTGAGATCTTTTATAAAGATACTTCTGAAGGTTTATGTCTACATGTTCTCCATCTGACTTGACATGATTCCTAATCTCAGATTTAAACCATAACTTATGTTTTGATAATAACAGTGATAAATTGGCAGACTGTCTTCAAAGATTGTTTATCTGAACATTTGAAAAAATTATATAATTAAATGATGAAATTAACTATAAAGTGAGGATCAACTGCAGCTTTTGTTGCATGAAAGATGAAATAATAAAGGGTACAGGGTGGATATTAAAGAGGAGTTTCAGTATTGATTCCTTCTCAGGATGCACTGGTACTTTTCTAGTTAAAGAAAGAATACTGACACTGAGAAACCAGATTAAAATTCAAGAGGCCTGCATTCCATCTCTGCTATAGATTACTCCTTAGTCAATAAGCATTACTTTTCTCTGTTCCTCAGATTTCCCCAAATTTGCCTAAGCAGCCTGCAAGTTCCTGCAGAACCACAACTCTTTAATGCAAGTGAAGTTTATTTCTAAAAGAAATAGACCCTTTCAAAAATGACAAATTAATTATTTAAATCTATGACAGGAGTCAACACTATGACACTCCAGAACGAAGCATTTAAATCCTAGAGAATCACAAGATTAAAAATGCACACCTCTTTTCATTACTTAACTCATCAAGTTTTCTAAACGTTCTCATTCCTATAAACAACACTTTCAGTTGCTTTGTAAAAGCAGGTAACTCAGGGAACTATCATGTAAGGGAGGTAACTTCACATATACATTTAGAACACTTGGAACCTTATGGACCTTAGGGCTAGATACTTTGGCACCGAGGTCAATAGCAATGGAAAAAGGAAACGATCAAACAGGAAAACAATCCATCTTCTATGAAGGCAATATGCTTATCTGAGAGCACTCACAAATAGTCAAATTGCCCCTGAATCTTTAAATACACTGGGAAAAAAAAAAAAAAAAATTACATTAGAACATACCTTAGGTGTGAACATATGACGAATTCCATCCAATGATCCATTAAGGAGCAGTCCTCTGACCAGAAAGCACAAGAGCACCACATAAGGAAAAAGGGAACTAAAGTACATGATCTAAAAAACATTAGAAAGAAATTTAACATGACATCAGTTGATATTCTTTTCATAAGTTTCACACTCAGTACCTTTTGTACATATGGCTGAATTTAAAACTATTTGTTCACAAAGAAATATACAAAACATGCTCCCTGCAGAATAGAGCAAAATCACAAGACTGTACTCATATCAATTCCATACTGTACTAAAACAATACAGTTGCCAATAAGTTAACTAACAACAAACTGTAAGCCTTCTAGGGAAACTGTGAGAGTAGACAAGGAGAAGATGAGGAGAAAGACAGAAACAGTTTCAGAAATGTTTCCCTTTGCAAATGCACTTTAACTCAAGTACATGATACGATAAAGATGGAGTATGAACAGAAAGTCTGAGTTCAAAAGGAGAGAAGAAGCAGTCTGGAAAGTATTCAACAAATGGAGTCAAACCACTAAGGAATGTTTACTGCAGGAAAAAAAAAAGAAAAAAAGGAAAACTGGGGATATTCTCTGAGCTACAGAATCATTCAAGATCTCATTAGTTTGACCCATAAAAGCAAGAAACCAATATTGCTTTGACTACTGGATGACAAAATGTCACAGGGCCTTGAGAATCCAGAAGCGTAACGCTGCACAGTTTCTAACAGATTAAGGTTTTGTTTTGGTTTTTTTTTTACTGTTTAATGTGAAGATCAACAATTCTGGGCTTCTGTATCATCAAACAGAATATATTTATGGCACAATGACTGACTCATTATCTAACAGCGGGAAATAAAAAATTCGTAATCAAATATGATCTTTTACTCTCCGTACTGAAAAGCAAATTTCTTCTCTGCTTTAAAGTTTAGTAAATCAATTCTATTGCTAAACTTGAAAGTCATTTCTGTAGCTGAAATACATTAAAGTACGCTGAAGAGATCAAAGACAGTTCCTGCTCAACAAAAAAAAACTCCTAATAGCAAATAATTAGTAGGTGACAGGAATTAACAATAGATCTCATCTGAGGAACAGATCTCAGAAAATCATTCACTGGTCAGTCTATGTGGCTGGATGGGAAAGAAGTCAAAGTGATGTACTCAGATCCAAAGGGATGTTTGGTCATTAATCAAAGAAACAACCCAGAATCCTGACTGTGATAATGACAGAAGCATGGATAATGATGACAGTAGCAATAAAAAGCAAATGCAAGGAATTTTGAGGGCCTAGGTAAATTGCAATCATTCTAAGCATTACAGATATACTCAGAAACTTAATTCCCTAGACATTCGAAGCACACAAGCTCATGCTGCATTAACAGTTCAATAAGGCCAAGTTCCAGTTATTTGCAACAGTTATGTTGATAAGAACCAAAATCATTTTTCTTCAGATCTCAATCCCTGCTAAATTACAGTTCCCAAGGAAAAATAGTAGTTTTAATGCTTAACTAAGAGAGTAGGGATTGTACAAACAGTGGGGTGAGTCACAGCATCCAGCTTACTCCTACATATTTAATGAAAGAACAGAGGGCGTGGTGAAAAAAAATGTAGTGAAATAACTCTTAAATGCTTCAAAGTAAAACACTTGTCATTTAGGTAAACAGCATACTCACTTTGCCAGAAGACTGAATGCCTTTGATCATGGCTAGGCATACCATGACCCAGGCAGCCAGCAGGCAGATAGTCATCTTCCAATTTAAACCTCCACTCTCTGACAGAGAGCTGGAAATATTCAGTGCTTCCCTGTACCAGTAATAGGTTGTCGCAGAACTCTTTTCACACTCTGGCTCCACAACTGTCAAGACACGTTAGCAAGTAAAGATTGGTTTAGGACAGAAGTATTTTCCCAACACTTCACTGTAAAGTTGTATCAATTTCCAATACTTTCAATCATGCCTTCAATGCTGACAGAGAAATTGAATTCACAGAGTAAAAGAAAATGGAAGTGCTATCAATTCAAAGTTCTGGATATAACTTTTTAAAAGACTCTTTTGGTCTTACATACTCCTCTCCATATCGTCAATACAAGTCCTCGGCAGAAATAATTTTTTAGTTAAGTAGATAAAGACTTACACTTCATTTTTAACCCTTTAGATTTTCTATACATAAAACTGCGAGTTATTCTCTGTGAAAATTCTACCTCTGAATTTGAAAGCTGAGTTCCAATAATTTTGAAAAAAATACGAAGATCATTATCAATTGTGTCTGCTTTGACACAGAAATCAAATCAACAGACACTTAATTACAAATGTTAATAACACAGCAATATTAAAGTGATGAGAAAACGAAAAAAAGGCTCCTTCATGCCTATGTTCTTAGGAAAGGTGCTACACATTCCAACAGTTACTTTTACTGTACTATAATTATGCCTTATTCATATTATCAAACAGTTTAAGAAATTTTGTGCATCTAGGTATATAATACAAAGAAACAGAAATAATTCTTGAAAGAAAAAAAAATTACTTGACATTTTTATAAATTATTTTTGACAATCAATCATATTTTTAAGCTAGGTCCTGAGTGAAGGTGATTAAACAAAACAAGGGAAAAATACTGCAGGCATCAGATCTTCACCAAAATAAACTGTCAAAAGTGTCAGGATGATATCAAATGTAACGCTTTTCTGTGTTTTAGCTAAGTTTAAATGACCTCTCCTGAAGTTAGGCTGAAAAACTCTGTCTTACCATTTGAGGAGGATAAGAACACGTAAACAGACAAAAACTGTGGCTCAACCGTGGTCCTGTAGTCCAATGCTTGTGGAATACAGCTGATTTTAATGAGTGCCAACATTCACAAATACTATTTATTTCAAACAATTGAAGCAAGCAACTCTTGCAAAGACCATTTATAAACATCGTACAGCTTTTCAAATATCCATAGTTATGATATTCGTTAAAGGAGGGGGAGAGGAATACAAAAGATAATAAATAAAAATTTAAGATCTGATTTAAAAATACGTAAAAACAAATATTTCATATTTCAATAGCGAGACAAATCCCATGTGTGCAATTATCACAACTGAAATCAAACTATAGGAAATTTTTCATGCTATTGCATAATACTTCCATATAAGACATATTACAACAACAAAAAAAAAAGACCAATGATCTAATTGTTATTGGTGTACAAAGCAAAAAGTGCTTTAGCCATACAAATTTCATTGATGTTTACAGTTTTCCATTTTCTGCTTTGTTAGTAGTGCAACCCATCTTAATTTATCTCCAGTATGTATGCCATACTAAAAGAAATGGAGAAACAACTCTTCTACCTTTGTTTTTCACCATGAAAAGCAGTATCAAAATCAGAAAGAAGTTATGAAATTGTATTTTACATTTTTTTTTCTGCAACATACTAAACAACCTGATTTTATTACTTATTACAAATGCTGTTGACTGGAATGTTCTTTTCCAAAACCTTTGCAATTGTCTTAGATTAGTTGTTGTATTTTTTCTTATTAAAATGCAATACCAGCTTTGTGTGTAACACTTTTTCCCACAAATATCTGTTTAAAGCACATTTTTTTATCTTTTTAGTTTGAAAATCTCAAACTTGATGTGACTGACAAAATGACAATAGAGAATTAAGAAGAAAACTCTATTCAGCATTTCAGAAAAAAAAAAGAGACAATAAAATCTCTTTTCCGTTCTCTTCAGTTATGTCAACAATAACCAGCAATAAAAAGAGATAGTTTTAAAAGCAGACTTCTAATTCATACTTTTTTCCCAATAAGCCTTGATGAAAATCCAGTGAAATTCAGCAGAAAGACTTGGTTTTACTTAGTGTGCGGACTTGTGTTTGCATGATAAAAAAGAATGTTAACAGACTCACATGTATGGGATGCATTTTTTACTAGAGGACACTGGTCCCATGGCAACGGATGCTGAAAAGACTGGGAAAAGTAAAACAGACTCCATCCAATAATGACATTGTAGTACAGAGCCACAAAGAAGCATACCTATTAAAAAGACAAAAAAGAAAAAAAAAAAAAAAAAGACATACCAAAAAAAGTAAAATTTATGAACCCACTAACATTACAATTTTGCAGATTTCTGAAGGTCAGACACACAACTTAATTTTCGCTAAAATAAGTCAGAATAAGAACTGACTGGGTTGTTCTCTTAAACCTTGTTTAATGACGACTTTCTCACTTTCATTTTTCTCTGTATTTATCATATGACATCTATATTTTCACAGGCTTATTTTTCCGCCCCAGAAGCCTAATCTGTTCCCAAGTTCCTAATCTCCAATGAATCATAAAAAACAAGTTAACTGGTTTAACAAATACATCCATATAAGCATTTTTACTGTACTAACTTAAGAACTTCCTAAACAGTGTAAATTGACCTTATAGCCTAGCTACAGGTCAGTGCCTTTTCCTTGTAGGAAAACAGAAAGTCTAAATCATACAAATTGGAAGTGAATCAAGGTTAAAAAAAAAACAAACAAACTTACTACACAGCTTGCAAATCCAATTCCTCCAAGTTTAGGGCTGATATAATTCCATACACCGATACTCCCTCGGCGGATTCTCTGCCCCACAGAAAGCTCCAAGAAAAAGAGCGGAATCCCTATGATCAGTAGCAAGATTAAGTATGGCACAAGATAGGCACCTACAAAATGAACAAAGTAGAAATCTGAGTGAATAAAGCCACAGTCTGACATAACTCATATACCTTCAAGTTTGCATTATTCATTTCAAAGCTTTTTCTATTGCATATAAAAAGTGATTTTACTTGGATGTTGATTATAAATCTTGTAAGATCAGAAAAGTCCTGAGATAGCTTATTCCTAAAACACTGAAATGTTTTGAGGCAAACTTTACTAAAAGTGAATCATTACCTAATCTTTGTTGTTCGAGTCATTACTTTTGCTTATGTGAAAATCTGGGCACATGAACAAACTTCTTTTGTATAATCATCATTTCCTAAAAAAAACCCTCTGAATTTGGACTTGTAACAGAGTAGCAAGCTTGAATTTATAAAGGAAATACAGAGTGCGCTGCACTATTGCAACACTGAATTTCATCCAATCTTCAGTGCAGTTTCAAAAGACTTTTTTTTTCCCCACATACACTTCAGATGCTTGGGAAGGGCAGAACAGTGATCCTATTCAGCTAAGCAAACAACAACCTTGCCCCATTTCTACCAGACTCTAGGCATGAGGTAGAAGTGAGATAGTTATCAGAGAACCAGATAGCCCACCTGGACTACTCACAAGCTCCTGCTAAAGACTTTTGAGAATGCAACTGTTACTTCATCTTTTATAAGTATGTAAAACATTTCCTCTTTTCAAGGTTGTATTCCCAGGAAGTGGTCACATACAATTCTAACTTCAAGGTGTATCTCCATCTATTTCCACCAGCAAAACTACTTGCAAGCAAAATTCACATGTTAAGTGCACTGACAGTTTAGAGCCAAATTTCACCTTTGCAGATGAGGAATATATAGGACTATAGCTCAAACAAAATCTAGGTAGCAGCAATTAGAAAGACAGTACCTAATTTTCAAATGTGTGACTCATATGCTGCAATATGGAGTACTGTGCTGGACACCCAAACTAAGTCTTATAATCGCAACACTAAAGAATTTCACCTGAGATTTTGTCAAAGCAGTCTACACAACAGCGGGTCGAAGATGGAGCTAGTAAAGTGTCTAATCACTTATGTGATGAGAGAGAAGCTGAGCACAGTTCAAAAGTCAATTTTGGATTTATCCTCAGCTCTAGCTAAGCAGTTTCCATACCCCGTGACAACCTTCTAGGGCTTTTTCAAGAGTCTATCAAAACACATCATAATTTACATATCCTTAGTAGGTGGCTCATCTCAGGGAATAGGCTTTATTTTAGAAAAGTTAAACTTTCATAAGGAGTGCAGGAAGCATCAGATTTTATGGTACCACCTGCTCCTGTTTAGGTCTATTTCCTATTTTACTATTCATGAAACACACACAGCGAGGACATCAGAACATCATCATCACCTTTGGTTATAAAGAATTTATGAAGATCCTAAGAATAAAGTAACTTGAAGTTTTGAGTCTAAGAAAAATAAGAAAAAAATACAGAGGAAAAATTAAATAAATAAATAAAAAGACAACTACTGATGGACCAGACAAAGAATCTATTGAACTTATCTATCCTACAGTCTGTAGGCTACTGTCAGCAATGAAACAGCTTTTGGAGCTTTATTTTCATGACAATATGATAATGCCATGAAAGCACTAGAGCAGCATTTGATCAAAAACTACACCAGGCTCTGAATAAACTACTAGTTTAGAGAATATACTGTGTGCTACCTCACACAGACAAATACCATGGTATAACTGCCTATTTCATATACTGTCTGCTTAAGCATGTGATAGAAATATTCTTTGTACTGCAGAAACAGCTACATTCCCAGTTTGTACTCTGGCATCTCTTGTGGTTCGCCTTGTATATGCACATAATGTTACAGACACAAAGGACTTACTTCCTACTGCAAAAAAATAAATAAATAAATAAATAAAAATAAAAAACAAACAAACAAACAAAAAAGAACAGGATAGAAGGAAATAGATCTGATGAAAACTGAGAAATAGAGTAACAACAACATTCCAAAATGAGGGGGCCTGTCAAAGAATGTACAAAACATAATAGTATTAAGTACTCTTGTTTTATCACCATCATTCTCCCAAAATTTCTGTGAGACAGGACTACACTGATAATTCACATTGTAAACAAGACATGGAAGCTTAGGCTTCACAAGCTTTAAAAATGTGGTTGTACAATTCATTGAAACCAATTGTACATAGTTTTTTTTTTATACTATAACACTACTGCAAATTATACCTAATACCTTAATTAGGTAGGTATTGCACGGCTAGGCAGAGAAAAGCCTAAACATCTCAAAAAAATTGGGGCCTAAGTGACTTACCCTGTATCCCTCTGGATGACTGCACTAGAGCAGGAACTGAACCCAGCTCTTCTGTGTCCCAGTCCACAACCTTAATCACAAGGCTGCAAAGTTAAGCACATGTTTAAAGACTGGGCTGATATGGTTGCTTTATGGTGCAGTATCAATGTGAGTAGCAAGATTTATCAGTCAGATTCTACTAAATGAGTTAAATGAATGTGGTGCTATATCCACATTACATTATATGTTACACAACCCTGTAATTCAATATGGATGGCCAGCGGATATCATCTCTTTACTTCAGGGCTTGTGCACAGGACCTGCTGAGGCCCTTCTGATCGTCCCTGTAAGGACATAACAGTCAACGGTGCACATCTGGGTTTAAATACAATGAGGTTTAGATACACAGTTGTATGATCTAATTGTATCAAAGCTGCAAAATGCTTCTCTGTCCTATAGCTCACATACTCCACAGTATCTCATTGTAAGTATTTTGTTGGATCCTTCCCCGAAGCAAGACATACTTCAATAATCTGTAAGACACCTTCACTTCATCATAAAACAGAATCACTATGGAAACAGTTCAGAACGTCTTTTATTTGCCAGTCCATGAAAACACGTGTACTTGGATAGCAATATTAAATAAGAATCATTTTTATTTGAGTTAAAACAATGAACTGTACATGCCAGCCTTGAACAGCATCCTAAAATTAGTTACATTCATATTGTCTGACACATCTGCCAACTGAACAACTTTTTGGTGGTTACAGTTTTGTGGTTCAGTATCCCCAGGTCTCCTTTCTATAGTTCAAAAACCTCTCAATTCTAAAATCACTTTGTTTGCATATTTTGGTCCTAAACATTGGTTTTTCTATTAAAAAACCCACTACTGTACATTTTTCATCTCAACTTCATAAGGAAAAAATGTGTATTCAAAATATATCACATTCTTTTTCATTAGAATTAATAGCAGAAATAAAAAATGATTTCTTGATTTTCAGACCTAGTGAATATTTATATTGTGCACAACACAGATTTAATCTTAATTTTTTTATTTAGCCAAGTACCATAATCAGATACCTAATAATTTCTCTTTATACTATAATAAATACTAAGCTTAGCAATTATTGATTATTGAGCAATTATTGATAGAGATGGAATGTTACTATTGCTTTTTATTTAAGTTTTTATAAATGTCCAAAAAAAGAAAAAAAATAAGAAAGAAAGGAAGAGGGAAAGAAAGAAAAGAAAATGGCATGGGTTTTAGTGAGTGAAGTGTCAGAGAACAGTTTCAGAAGAATATAACATAACTATTATCATCCAGACAGCACAGAACTTTTCTTTTCCTTGAAGTAACTTGAAAAATCTAAAATCTTTAAAGATTTATTTCACTTGCTGCTGCGGTAGTTTTTCATTTACTGTTTCATTTCTGTTCACTGCAGGAGAGTTAAACTAGATGACCTCCAAAGATCCCCTCCAACTCTAAGGATTCTATGATTCTATGATTCCACGATTCAGTTCTTACTCAATGAGGGTGAGTTTTACCATGCCTTGATAAGACATCAGCGTTCTTGTAACTTACAGCATACTTACTAATAGAAAGCTTGCAAGAAGATCTTACCAATATGAAAATTAACTTATTTTGAATATCAAATGTTAAAATCTTCAAATTTATTAAAGTGAACAACAAAACATCAAAGGTTTACAGTCCTCTGAACTACTTTAATTGAATTTATTCACCATTACAAAATACAAACTGCTTTTATCAAGAAAACTCTACTAATAAAGGTTTTATATTTTATCACTAGGTTTACAGCCTATTTTACCAACTGGATGGTGTTCCTGTCAGTAGTCTTACACAGATTTAGCACGTGTGCCTATTTACAAAATTGCATTTAAATCCCCTTAGCCAATCAGCTCTAATGAAGAATTAAACTTGCAAATTAAAAATCAGGCATTTTCAGTGCACTGAGTAAGATAAAACTAAATTTCATGAGCCTGATGCTACGGTGTAAATTAAGAATTCACAAACCATTGATTACACATTACTGATAAAAAGCTAAGTAACATAGCTGCTGAATATATTATCAGTGCTGGAAATACAAGAGAGTACTCACTTTGTTCCCATTCCTCTAAAATTTGACAATGAGACTAAATTATCCAGTCATTGCCGAGTCTTTAAGAGTTTACATGTTATTTCCTCTATTTCCAGTAGTTCTTAGGAAGAGTTGCTTTGTTTTTCATAAGCTCACAGAATAAAACTGTTCAATCTGCTGATATTTCAATACAAAATCCAGACTCCTTAACTATGAAACCTCCTGATATGATTTCACTCACATCACTCTTTTCAAAATGTACTGGTAATTAATCTGCTATAGATTTTCTCATGCTAGTCACATCTTTTATCTGTTCATCTTTTGTTTACTTGTTTTTATTGCATATGAAGCAAAGGTGTGTCACTGAATTCTGCCACATGAAAAAAATGACACCCACTGACACTCTTTGATGCTTGCTAAGAGTTTAGAGAGACCACATAGTGTATGTGAGCACAGTGGTATGTGGGTGGCGTGTTTCAGCTTTGGTGGCAGAGATGTGAAAAACGTGGATGTGAAGAACATCCATGTTCTGGATCACCACACAGATTTTTAAGAGCGTGGCATGCAGGCTCTTGTTCATCACTGGTAAAAATGCATCTCTAAGGGTGGTGACTATGTTGAAAAACAGTGTTTAGTAACTGAGAACTTGGTCTATCAAGTAGTGTTATTGTGTTCTTTGTCTCTGTTGTGGCTCCCTTTGAAACAAATAGAAGGCATTATCTTTGAATAAATATGAAGACCGGGGTCACTTGTCCACAACAGGGCACAAAAGATAGCATGACTTCACAGGCAGGAAAGAATCATCCCAGTTTTGAGATAAGTCAACGTATTAAAACGTCATCAACTAAGGAATAAAGCGTACTAGCAGACAGCAAAATGTGGATCAAAAAAAAAGTGAATGTGCTAATGATCTGGGTTAAGATCTTCCAGATCCTCTCTTCCAGTTTATTCTAAACAATTTGCCCTTTTCTGAACAACCTGAACTTCAGAAACTCCTTTCTCATTCAAACAGTCCAGATGTTGTGATTAGGACATATTCTCACAGAATCACAGAATCACAGAATTGTAGGGGTTGGAAGGGACCTTCCTGAGATCATCGAGTCCAACCCCCCGCCAAAGCAGGTTCCCTACACCAGGTAGCACAGGTAGGCATCCAGGCAGGTCTTGAACATCTCCAGAGAAGGAGACTCCACCACCTCCCTGGGCAGCCTGTTCCAGTGCTCTGTCACCCTCACTGTAAAGAAGTTCTTGCGCATGTTTGTGCGGAACTTCCTATGCTCCAGTTTCTGGCCATTTCCCCTTGTCCTGTCTCCACTCACCACTGAAAAGAGTCCGGCCTCGCCATTCTGCCCCCCACACCTTAGATATTTATAGACCTGGATCAGGTCCCCTCTCAGACTCCTTTTCTCAAGGCTGAACAGACCCAGTTCACTCAGCCTTTCCTCATAGGGGAGATGCTCCAGGCCCTTCACCATCTTCGTGGCCCTCCGCTGGACTCTTTCCAATATTCTCAATAGTATATATATAATATATATTCTCAGAGAAATGGGTTGAAGAGCTTCAGGTTCCAACAGATTCCACAGAATCTGATAGATACCAAAAACAAGGAAAGAAGCCAGCAGAACTGAAGCCAGGTGCAAGGGCAAACTGAGTGGAGTATGAGAGAGAACCCTCCCATGTGGTGGTATCAGCTGTTACATCAGCTCTCCTATCTTATATAACTTCACTGTGACTATAATTAAATACTGAAAGACAAAGACCTATGCCACTGTCTAAAAAAACTAAGAGTTGTTATCATGCTGTTAATTATTTTTCTTTTATTCACATTGGCTATATCCTCAGATGACTGAAAACATTGTGAATTCATTGAAATTTTGCTAGTTTTCACCAACACGTTATATAGTCTACCCTGAGTAGTTTTATTTTCTATCAGAATTATTACAAAATTTGTTTTCTTACTTACTGTCTTTTGCTCCAAGTGCAACATGAATTAAAAGACAGAAGTACAGCTAAACTGCTATATCAATTTGTTTCACTTTCTAACTTGACATTTCAAATTTCCTGAAATTGTTATTAAGTTTTTATACAGAAACAGTGTGTACCTGAAAAACCACACATATTTGTTCTCATATAGCAATAAATAAGTTGTATAGTGTAAAAATGGTTAATATAAAAAACTTTTTAATTTAGTTTGAGTATACTCATTTCTGATGCATACTACCTTTGTGAGTCATTGAGGAATAATCAGCTTTTTAATCCGTAGGCTGCAACAGAGGAGATTGGGTTCTGCCTACCAGGGAGAAGGTAGATCTCTAGTGAGGATAGTGAAGGAGTCAAAGATCTATAATGAGGTCTTCTGAACACTTTCACACCCTTACTCACTGATCCTAAAACTCCTTTGAGTGCTTCCTCATTCTAAGCCAAGTAAATGCACACTACTAAAGCCTCGAATTCTCTTAATACTTGCTGTGTTACAGCTACATCCCTTGTTACGTTGAAGTCCATTACAGCTGCACACTAGCTTCTTTGATCCCCTCTTACAATAAACATTCTCTGGGAGAGACCAAAGAGTGAAAGCCAAGGAAGCCTTAGCTCTAATCATCACTTGCTTTCCTCTGTCTTGTAAAATTAGCAACCAAGTTAAATTCATAGTTTCAAACTGTTGCAATGCATTAGTATTGAGCTACATCTTGACTGATCATTACAATGAAATTATCTAGAATATAAACATTTTAATAGCTACAACTTCAACTAGCATCAGTTTGCTCTAGAATTATTTAATAGAAGTATTAATTTTTCAACTAATAGTGATTCATGACTGATTCTAAGTTGTCTAGTAAGCTAGATGACATTGTGTTTCATTGAAAATCTGTGTTGCTTTTTTTTTGAGAAACTACATACAACTTCTGTTTTCTCAGTTTACATCACAGTTACAGATTAAGAAAATTTTATCTTCCATACAGACCATATGACTTTCCCTCCAGAATAAAGAAAAGAAAGTTGAAAAAAAGTGTGAAAAAAATTACTGCACTAAGCAAATGTAAAAGAATTTACACTTTATCATGGAGATGGAAAATGTGAAAGTAGAAATCTCCCATTTTAGCTTTTAAACTGAATAAGAGAAAGTGGAGAAATATATGCTGATTATACTCTACACTAAATTCTCTACTTCTCATTTGCATCAATCTTGCCATTCAACCTTTGGAATCCAGTATGAATTATATGTTATTCTTCATTTTATGTTTTATATCATGGATTCAGTTTTTGTATCATAAAAACTATGTTTTGTTTCAAATTCAGCTAACTAGCTATGATAGAATGAACATTAATGTAGTATAGCAGAGTACAGTACAGAAAGGAAATCCCAGAGGAAGGCCTCTAGCCACCTACTTTCTTCTATGCTCAAGACTATAAATGAACAGCTAATAAATAATGTTTTAAGCAAAAGGTAAAATATTTAGGAAAATAGAACTATGTAACAGCATAAAACAGATACACTCCATTAATGTAAATTTTATGATGAAAATTAATCATTATCAGTTAAAAAAAAATTCACTTGCTAATCTACAGGAAGTAAATAAAGAACTACAAGCTAAAGATAATCAAAAAGAAAAGCTCTGAAGCTAAATAGTAAAGACCGAATAGTGCTTTGGTTTTTAAAGTGGAAGTAGATTTAATGCTTTGATTTATTCCCCAAGTACTATAAAGAGCACTTTAGCACAATGATAACCAGGTTCTAAATAATGCATCACCTCCAGAAAGACCTAGCAGGGTTTTGGTTAACCAATAGGAAAGTCCCAAGAGCTGTAAGACACTTTCAGCCTCGAAATAAGAAAATGGAATCTTATAATTATTTGCTACTTACTGTAGGAGATTTGTCTCACTAAATAAAGAGAAAGTGGATTTTTCCTCAAAAGGTGTGGTAGAAATTAAAAGAAAAATCTAACATGCTGCAGTAGGTGTTACTGTATGTGTGCTAACAATAATCTTGTTAAATAATAATGATTAGCTTCATCATTTAGCTACAGCTATCACAAAACTTACCTCCACCATTTTTCTGACACAGATATGGGAATCGCCACACATTCCCTAATCCTACCGAAAATCCAACTTGTGCCAGAATATACTGGAGTTTGCTATTCCAAGCAGGTCTTTCATCTTCCACATCTGAGCCTTCTTCAACATCCACATCTTTTTCTTCCTGATCACCAACCATCAGCTCACTCTTCTTAAAGGCATCATCTGAAGAGTCTTCGTTAGAGAGGAGGTCCTTAACTGACTCAATGACCTCATCATCTAGGTCTCTCTTCACTACCTTGCTGTTTTTAGGCATTTGTAATATGAGAAAAATAAAGAAGTCAAGTTCAACTGGGACAGATGGAGAAGTGCTGAAGAAAGCTCTCCCTCTGCTGGGCAAAAAATTTTGCAGAAATAGAATAAAGATGCTGCCTAAGTCCTTGATAGCAGGGAATCAAAAACACGGACTTCTTTGTTTCTGAATGTTTGTTCTACTGAAAGTATCTGTGGGAAGAAAAAAAAAAAAGAAAAAAGAATATTATTATACAATACAGAACTTAATTTAGTAATTGTATGCTCTGGTTTATCCAATTTCCCTTATCTGCAAGGTCTGAGAAGAGAAAAAGAAGAGATATTAAATTGCTTTCACATCGTTGGTCATAAATTCATGTTTTGGTCCTAAGTTTCCATATAAAATGCATTTCATTCTCTTGCTGAGGGTTTGTTTTTTTTAATTATTATTATTGTTTTTTCATTTGTTTCCTAAAGACTGATAGGCCAATTGCTCGTATTTCACTCTGGAAGCATAATCAGATTCTCCTTACTAGACATAACAGGGCGTACACTCTGCATACAATTTAGGAGACTAGCTCCATTCTTTCCTGACTTAGAAGCCCTATGGAACTGCTGAGTTTATTAAAAAAAACAATTCAAGCAAAGTAGATTAATGTTTAGGGACCATTTCTGAAAGTGATACAGCAATTAAGATGCTGATGTATAGGACAAACTCAGCACTTCAAAAGCAAGGGAGACTTATTTATTCTTCATCTAGGAATACATAACCACAATCATATTTTCAAAGGAGATAGCTTCCTCTCTTCTGAGCTTTAATGCTTTCTTGGAAAAAAGGAAGTAACTAAACATACATAAAACATTTGAGAAGCTGTTACCAAACCCATTGGAAAAACCTACTGTTTCAAAAGTGCATGTACAGAGAAAAATAAAAAACAAAAAACCTGCATTTAAGTATATGCTTTTCTTTAACACAATGAATCATTTATAAGGACTGAAGGACTTCCTTGCAGCTGCCATGCTGAAGGCAGGAATTTGGGTAGGAGTTTTTTTTTCAAGAAATTCAGAAATCCTCTTCTATTCACATGGGACAAAACTGATATGTACAAAACCATCTGCACAATTAAGAGTCTTAAAAGGGATTTAGATTATGTGTTAAGCTTCTTGAAAACCCTAAAGCAGGACTAGATTTCCACACAGAGTCTAATCAAAACTCCTGACTGATGAGAATCAGAAATTACTAGAGGATACATGCAAACTTTCTGATTTTGCATATGAACTTGTTACAATATCTGGTCCATAAGATGAAGATTGTACTATACTGTGTGGAACTCACATAGAGCTGAGAACTGTTCATACTATTACTGGACCGACAGCACAATAATTGAGACCTCAAGAGTGCTTCAGTGCCTAGTGACAGGTCACAAAGAAAGAAGTTAAGCCACTGGAATGCAGCCCACAGCTTATCCAGTAGACACTCACAAAAACAGCACTAAAACCTCTGTGAGCACAAGTGCTATTATCAGCCTTGGGTTTGATAGGATAATTAACTTTTTGATAGTTTCCTAGGATTCTGAAGCTGAACTTCACTCCAGTTGCCTACTGAACTACATTGTAATCTCCTTCCATTCGTTCCCTAGATTCTTGTCACTGACTTCTCACCTTCCCCATTCCTCTGTCACTACCTCTTCTCACCAACTTCACCTATGGGCACACATCCCACATTTCTCAAGCACAGTAGAGCTGGTTTGTGATCTGATTCACAGCTCACCACTGATGCTGAAAGGGTTCAAGGTCCTATAAATCTTCCTTCTAACATGTGGTGGACCTAATAGCAGGCTTTGTTTTGTCTCTGAAACTAGCTCTTCAAAATAAGTAAGTGTAAGAGTAGGAATGTACAGAACAGTGTAACAGGGAAAGCAACTTTATCTATTTCACCTTTTAGGTTGCAAACTCTTCAAAGACCTGTGTTCTATTCTAGTCGATCTTCAGCAGCTGTAGCTGCGACTGATGTTTAGGTAGACACAGGATGCAAACACCAGTAATACATCAAGTGAAGCATTTATCCTAATTGAGCTTTGGGATTACAAACCACAGCATCTGTTACTTCAACTGCTACTTCTGTTCACTTTCCAAACTTTTCCTTTCTTATCATTGATGAAAATTAATGCAGCTTCTCAGTTCCATTCATTAGTAACAACACTGAGCAGTAAGAAGTTAAAATGAAACAATTTTACCTCTGTTCTTTATATAAAAGTTGCAGAAGTAAATCTACATCAAAATCTGTCTGTATGTCCAAAATCCTTTTTGAATTGTAAGAAACAGCCATTTATCAGTATTTATTAAAATATTTTAGAAGGACACATCTATACAGGTACTTCAGATACAATAACTTGCAGGGTAGCAGTATGATTTATCTGCTGCTGTCCCCAGGTGAGTCAATGCCAACAGAAATTGCATCATTCTGCCTGTCCTCTCATGCATTAAACACTGCATTGCTACACTTCAAAATACACTGGGCCTGATATTGTTATTCCTAGCACGATATCGTATTAAGTTTGTTTTCATTAACCTTCCATTAAGCAGGCTGTTATCAATAGTAATATCATAGTACAGGTTTGCAATATCTGAGAAAATGCTGGAGGCATGCTCGGCAGGCTGATGGGACAATGTTCGTTTTCAACAGCACTGGTTTGCTAACTGAATATGTATCACCATCTAGACTGCATCAGAGAGTACACTGCTCACGTCCTTCAGGATACATCACAAATCCACAGGTGAATTCAGACTTTACAACTTGTTTTCTGTACTAAAGGTTTACAATAAACCAAACACAGTCCTACCTCAGCAGACTCTACCATCAGGTTCCCTTTGTTAAAATGTGGTCTCAGTCGATTTGTTCAAGGGCTCTGATGTTGTGCTGGGCCCTCTCAGAACACACTCCAAGAGACTTGCACAAAACCCTCTTTCTCTGATCACCCTGCACAGAAAGTAAACTCCAAATTACTCAGCCCAAGCAGAGTACAGATACGAATGTTCCCACACTGAATGAGAAGACAACTGGTAAAAATCACCCACTGGCAGAGCTGGATAATCAAGAATCACCGAATAAACTTTATTTTGTACAGTACAATTCCTACCTATAAAATACTGTTTTAGGTTCCCAAGTAACTTGGCTCTTGTCAAGCACAGAGATGGAGTTCTTGATTATGATCAAGACATAATTAAGAAACATAAAGCCAAATTCTGTTAAACTGCTCTTTGAATTCCACTTCTAGCTATCTTCTATATAGACTTGTATAAGTAATAAAGCATTACAGACTGTTTCCCCTAAGTATCTCCAAAGTACTCTTCCAAGATAAATAAAACCACCACATTTACCAATTACAGAATCTGGTATCAGACTCAGGCATTACTGTCATCATTTTAAGCACTAAGTCTTAAATCTTGCCATGTATGGTAAAATATTACTATATAGCACCATTACCAGCACAGTGCATTTAAAAGTAAAATGTCAAAAATACAACACAACTTAACTATTTAAATTAAATTAGTAGCTATTAAAGCAATTTTTTGTGGATTTTTTGTGTTTTTTGTTTTGTTTCCTATTTCAGATCTACCTCATAGAATTAGATAGCTGATTTCATTCTTGCTTCTGAGCAGTATAACTCATCCTTTTTTATAATTTAACTGATGTCATGCATCAAATGAAAACACTAAAGGAAACTTTTTATCATATGTATTGGAGACCATCAATTTTCTCTGTACTTATCCACAATTTAAAGCAGCAAAGAAAGATGCTATCCTTTTTCTCATGTAAAATACCACTTCAAAAACCTAAAGTTAATCTTAAATTGACCCGACAATCACCTCTACTGTTTGAGGAAATTTAACAGAACAGAAATTGCTGCAGATTACCAGGGTTCAAAAATCTGAGTTTTTGGAAATAAGTTGCCAAATCAACGTAACTAGATATTTAAGATGTCTTATTAATATTAGCCTTGATATGTTAAAATGTATACTTCTTTCTGGTACTGAAAGATAAAAGGAGTTTTCTGCTACACCAAGAAAACTGCAGAATCAAGCTTTCCTTATAAGACAGTGGGAATTTTGTTATTTTCCTTCATGGAAGAATCAAGTCTTAACACACCAGCATGCAGAGGGAAAGAAACCTAATTAGAATGCCATATTATTAGCAGATTAAGCAACAGTGATCCCTTGCAATACAAAATTCAGACCCAAATTAGCTCCTTAGCAGATCTGAGCTCTCTATACAACTTTTAATTCAGGTTCAAATCCAAATTTTGTTATGCTGGCTCAGGGAGATAAGAAAGGCAGTCTCAGCTGACCAAATTGCATGCATTTCCATTAGGACTTGAGACAAGTTTGTCAGCTAAAGCACAAAAATACCCATTCAGAAACATTTTGCTTCATAACATTTTCTCCTAATCTTCCTTAAATGTATTCCCTGGTAAAGGAACTGTACTAGGGTTAGCTGTAATCAAAATATAGCAATTCAGTAGATTCATCTACACTCAGATTTTAACAAATAACAAAATAATCCTCAAATCTTCTTTGATAAAAAATGGTTTCGATCTTTGTCTAAGCTAAAGAAGGAAAAAAAGTGTCTGTACTTCACAAAAGGATATCAAGAAAGTTCATACAAACTAACTTTTAGAAGTTATAATATGCTGTTGTAACATCATAAATTGAGAAAGGGAAATAATGGATACCTTTTTAAGTTCAGCGCTTGCCACTAAAGGCAGGGAGAAAAATATTAATGCTCATTTCTTCAGAGCTCGTTGATCTTCTCTGATGAAGCAGTCAAGATACTAACATGCTACCCTAGGGGTAGCAAAATGCAATATAGAGCTGCAACAAGTTGAAGTTATTTTAATCTCTGATTTGAGCGTAGATTATGAGAGCACAGTGCACCAGCTAAGTCCCAAAAGCTTAGCAAAACTGCCTGTTTTGACTAGATCTCCACCCTGACCATCATGATTCAGCAGAAGACACAGAACAAAA